ATCCTTTGCATTCCGGGCAATGTAGATCACCTGCAGGGGAAGACCACACCCAGTTCTGGTTTCTTCTCTTGCTTTCCTGTCACTCTTCCTAAGACCGAGTTAGGTGGTGGGACCTTATACCACTTGGGAATTCCCAGCACTTCTTTTTGGGATGGCAGAAGAGAAAACAGGACTGCCTGTTGAGTTGTTGAGATCTCACTGTATAGGCAGGCATCATTGTCCTAAGATTGTCCATTCTCTGATAACAAAGTCCCAGCTATTCCTTGAACTGCTTCATCTGACTCCTTTGTTGTCAGCACATCACATGGTAAGTCAGAGTCCCATCAGCCTGTTCATCTATGTCCTATGCACACCTAGATTCTGCATCTCTAATTTGCATGGAAGAGTTCCAGTTTCCTTGTTATCTGAGCCCTTCCAGAGTGACAGCCAGGAACCCTCCATATGAGATGAAACAGGGCCTGAGAAGTCCCACAATTCCCAGCAGATCTAACCAAAGCAACGATGAGCAGCAAAGCCCCTTGCCTCCTCTCACCCTCCCCCTTCCATTCCTTCTTTCTTTTTCTGTCTTTGAGTGAGACATGGTCTTGAACTTGCTGTATAGTAGATGCTCCCAATCCTTCTGTCTCTATTTCCCACATGCTGGAAGGTACTAGCATAACTGGGGATTTTTGTTGTCTGTTTGTTTTTACCTTGACCTTCTGATCCAGCAGACTCTGAGGGATCAAGGACAGCGGCAGATGTGTCTTAAGGAGCCGTGGGGCTGGTGTCTCTTCCAAAGTTTCAAGACCTGAGTTGAACAGGGAACTTTGTAAAACTGGGGCCTGGTTCTACCTTTCTCCACTTGTTTCTAGCACCCCCATGAGCATACCTGAGGGAGCCCCTGGGTATTTGAACTCAAGGAAGGGTACCCGGGCATAGATAGGGGCCCGGCCACACTTATCTAGCTTGCCATTCTGATAGATCATATCCACGATCTCACTCACCCAGGTAGTACCTGGAAAGGGGGGAGAAAGAGGTGAGCCAGGCTCAGGGTCATGACTGCCTACCAAAGTGTGTATGCTGTGGGAACCACTGCTCACCAGACTTTGGGTATGTGCTGATGAGCAAGTCATCAGGCCAGGCTGTGAGGTTCTGCAGTGGCCCAACTGCCTCTGCAAAGTATTTGATGAGTGGGACACTCTTCACATGCACCAGTGGTGGACGGGAGAACTCCATGTTGCTGCATTGAGAACAGAGTAAAACTCACTTTTCTAGTAAGTTCACAGTACCATGTGCTGAATCATTTAAGATTGGGATCCTGAGGCTTTGGCAAGCCCACCAAGGTGGCAGGTGGATCTGGGATCAAAGGCAAATCTATCTCCACCAAAAGTCACTACTGTGCCATACTTCTGCTCACCTGTGGAATGGTCCACGTCCCTAGTGCCCAAGCATACATAGTCCAGGCAGTAAAGCACCCTCAGGTAGAATCAGTACAATGTTGGATGTTTCCCAGTGTATTCCAGTACGAATGTAAGAAAACGTTGGGCACCAGCTGAGTCTCTTTACTCCTACCTGGTACAGCTGTCAGTCCATGGCCTCTTCCCATTTTTTTTTCCCTTGGACTTCCTGTTACCTTTAGAAATGCCTCAGCCCATCTAGAACTGATAGGGTATTTTGCTCTGAGACAAATATAAACAATGTAGCTATTAAGCTTGTTGCAGGGTAGGGAGAGAGTTTGTATTAAAATGAAAAGGATTCTAAAACCAGCCAGAGAGGGGAGGGGAACAAGCTACAGTTGTTCTTCTGAGGTGGGGTATGCATGGGGAAAGCAGAGAGGCTAGAGGCACAGGCAGTGGTCAGGTAGACTAAGTTTAAGGACTAACTGGCAGTTGAAGAATGCTGGAATCAATATCTGGGTAGGACAAGGTGGCTACCCCACTCTGCCACTCACCTGATCCTGGGGTTCTTAGCCCTTCTTCCCAGTGCAGAGTGGAAGGGATCTTTGTGTAGGTGTTGCAATGTGGGGAATGCAGAATTGGTCTTTGAGCTGAAGATTTTGTGTCCCAAGTGGGAGGGAGTGGAAACAGTGCTAGGACTGGCTGTTCTCCAGAAACAAAAAAGGGAGTAGGTGGAGTGGGGTGGAGTTCTGTTACCCCTACTGCGGACTGTGGGTTTAGCCTGTTCAAAGCAAATCAAAACAAAGCCAGGCAGAAGGCTACAAGGGGGGGTAGGTTTATTTCATTCTGCTTCTGGCTCCTTCCTAACTCACCTAAACTTCAGGTAGATCAATGGGGCTTTTCTAATTAACCCACCCTAGCAAAGGGAGGGAAGTAGCCAGATGGGGACAGAGCATTCACACACCTGCTGCCTCCAAGCCAGTCTTGAGGACACCTTGGGCTTAGATCAGAGCAACCACAGCAAAACCTGGAATCACGGATGTCAGGGAAAGTCCAGAGTGATGGGAAGGAGCAAGGTCAGGGAACTGGAGGTGCAACAGAATTGGAGGTGTGTTCATGGGAGCTGAGTCTAAAGGCCCTAGAAGGTGCCCCTGCCTTCACGGCTGCTCGGCTGCCTCATCCAGTACCACACATGACTCGTGACGATTGGTCCCTAGAAAGGCTTTCACCCCCTGGACTTGCAAGTGGCTCTGTAAAGACAAGAGGCTGGAGCTGAGAGAGACAAAGCTCCAGGAGTGAGGAGACCCCTGCCCCCTTGACCTTTGTCTTCTGTTGAGTGAAGATGCAACATCAAGCTGCACTGGAGCTGCAGAGGCTCCTGCATCACAGCTGTGCGTCTCCTGACCCTTACAGAGTCGCCATCTCAGAAGAGCTGTGCACAGCCAGGCAACAGACAAGACTTCCCGGTTCTCATTGGAATTTTGTTTGTTTGAGACTCTGTAGACGGATGACACGACCGCTCCAAGCTGTGATTGAGGGGAAGGATTTTATTGTAGATGCGGGGCGGAGTTTGGCCATAGAATCTGGAAGAGTCCAGAAAGAAGTGGACTGAATATGACCAGAAGACTGGACTTGGCCATGAGAAGTGGGTTTGGGCCTGGGATTGTAAGAGATGAAGACAAAGCAGTCTGTCTGAGGTGTGCTGTTGTCGAGTCGCGGCTAGGCCGGCGCACCGCAGCCATGACGGAGGCTGATGTGAATCCGAAGGCCTATCCCCTCGCAGATGCCCACCTCACCAAGAAGCTGCTGGACCTCGTTCAGCAGTCCTGTAACTACAAGCAGCTTTGGAAAAGAGCCAATGAAGCCACCAAAACCCTCAACAGAGGCATCTCTGAGTTCATTGTGATGGCAGCAGATGCCGAGCCCTTGGAGATCATCCTGCACCTCCCTCTGCTGTGTGAAGACAAGAATGTTTCCTACGTATTTGTGCCCTCCAAGCAGGCTTTAGGACAGGCCTGTGGAGTCTCCAGGCCGGTCATTGCCTGTTCTGTTACCATCAAAGAAGGCTCTCAACTAAAGCAGCAGATCCAGTCCATTCAGCAGTCTATTGAAAGGCTCTTGGTGTAGGCGATGGCCTCTGCCCTCTCCTGTCTACTCCCACCCTGTTCGTGTAGCATATTGTCTGGTAGCGTGTACTATTTTCAGCCAGTTTCTATTATATTGTACTACATCTGATTTTTGTATCTTTATTTTTGTCTTAACAGGGTTGTCTTTCACCATCTCCTCATTCTTTTCTACCATTTTTTAGTCTTCCTTTAAAAACAAAAAAGAAATGAAATGAAATGATAGCCAAGACAGGTGAAAGGCAGAATGTCACCATTTAACAAAAGGAAGGACCAAGAGAAATTTAAGCCAGGAACAGTGTATACTTTCATCTGCAAACTTATTCCACTGGGTAGGGTAGGATGACAGTAACACTGGTCCCTTGTGCCTTTGATACAAGATCTCCATAAATGTTACTGTCGCTGAGGAACTTTCTTTGGGTAGCAGTCCCTCCCACCCCTTATCATTTGAAGAAATTTGATGTTAGGCCTATGTCCAGGTGACATTTATTAATGTCCTGTGTGGTTTTGAAGTATGTAACCTCATATTCTCCCGTCTGAGGCAGTAACAGCTCAAAGGGATTCTGTGGGAATGGTGGCTGTTTGGCTGGAGCTTGCAGCTGAGACAGTGCTAGCAGGAAACATCCTCTTATATGGGGATTCCTCATGGAGCTGCTTGATGGCCATGTTGGGAGCCCTTATCCTGTTCCTCCCACAGCATGGGTCAGGTGTATTCTCCCTCACATGAAGAAAGTAATAACGTTCAGTATTGAGCACCCTAATAAATATGTTCATATTTCCTTTTAAATGAAAAAAAAAAGAGATGAAGACAAAGAAAAGGGCTTGAAGAACGAGGGTTGGGGGTATACATAACTGAAATGGCTGGGTTATAAGGACAATGGGAAGCTGGCAGAAAGGAAGATTCTGAGCTAGGGGAGTTTAGGGTCAGAGTTGGAGTTAGAAGAGCCAAGATGCCAGCATGGACTTTGGAATGTGTAGCAGGTACTTGGGATACTGAAGGAGCCTGGAGCTGCTAGCATGCACTTTAGTATGCTCCGAGGCCCCACAGATAGCCATCTCTCCCTTCAGCCAGTGATAAGGGAATGGCTCCTTTAGTAGAGAGGAACTGCTTCTCAAGTTCCAGAAGAATGCTGGCTTTGGACCTGACAGAGCAAAGGTCTCACACTGTAGCCTTGGCTCCAGTTCTGCTGCAGCCTCTCAAGTGCTGGGATTCCAGGTGTAAACACCTGGAAAGATTTCTGTTCTCGGAATGATTATGCATCACTACAGGAGCTCTGCTGCCACAGGAAGACCTCGTATCCCAGGAGAGACCACACCCTATGTGCTCGCTCAGCGCCTGGCTCCTCCCATCCACAGATGAGCTGGAGAGCATTTGTCTCCTTGGTTTTGAAGAAAACTGTAAATAGTTTCTCTGTATATTATGTCATCTTTATCTTGAGGGTGGGCATTGGGATCCCGTGCCAGGCCTTAGAGCCAAGGGATCTACCAAGAGAGCCCTATGAAGAGAACTGGTTCCAGTGGAGAGGGGATCCACTCACAGACCTGGACACCTGCAGAAAACTTGGTACCTAGAGAGGGCCACAAGCAGAGCAGAGCATCTGTGGAAGGACAGCGTCAAGTTGCATCTCAGAACTGTATGGTTCCCAATGTTTTGCTCACAGGTTACTTACTGACTCTGGAAAGCTTGTTTGCTGGTACAGCTGCTGCCTGGGAAGTAGGGAGGATTAGAAGGATAAAGACAGGAGGGTATTGTGGACCAGCAAGGTATCTCAGATGGTAAAGGCACTTGCTGGTTAGCTTCATGGTCTGAGTTCTATCCACAGGCCTCTTATATTGAAAGGCGAGAACTAACTGGTTCAGTTTGTCTTCTGATACATGAGTGCACATGTGTGCAGACATGCACATAAATAATATACATGTGTGAGACTCCTCCACACCTAGAATGCTGTTTTCTGCCTCCTGGAAGCCAACCCAGTGATGGAAGCCAACTCAGTCGAAAAAGCCACCCAGTAGGGCTTGGATCTTCATTTTCTCAGGCTTGATATGACAATAGTGGCTCACAGTGTGACCATGGCTGCTTAGTCGTAGGGAATGTGAGCATTTGGGGGGCTTCTCCAGGGGAGATGTTGCCAAATGTCTCCTTTGTTCAGCCCAAAAACCGGACCAAGGACAGAGGAAACAGTACCTCCCCTTATAGCAGGACTTTCTGGACAGGCCAGTGATTAAATAATGATACAAAAATGTATTGATTTTTATTATAGTTTAGGCCTTAGACTCTCAACTAGTTCAATCTATATTTATCTGAACTATTATAGCCCTG